ACAAGCTGGCAAGAATATCATCATTTTAAAGGTAACATATATTTTAATAACCCCATACAGGGAACTATAATATGTTCTATCCAGTGAGAAGCTTGAATGATAGCTTTAAGTTTACAACCATGGCCAAAAAAAATGAAAAATGAATTATACCTTCTCTCCTCCAATTCTTCTCATGTGCAACACCTGCCCTAAAGTTTCTGTGCCCTTATTTCCTCCTTCAGGGAAAAGAAAATCAGGTGTCAGAATCTGGACTGTAACTGGAAGATATTATCATCAAAGCCGTATTCTATCATGCATCTTATTTTGTATTGAATAGACATGTTTTCTAAATATCACACCTGGTAACTTTCCACAATTTTTTTTCCACTTAACAATTACCTAGTCACAGATTTGGCCTTAAGTATAAAGGTGCAAATTTCCACCACGGTCTAATTGCTGGAAGGATTTTTTTCCCCCAATCTGCCTTGAAATTCTGTCTAATATGCTGCTTCAGGCCCCATATAGCCACAGATTCCAAGTGATACCTATAGACCTATTCTGCAGGAATTATGCAAACCTTATATAATAATTGTGAGATGTGTTAAGATCCTGGCACAGAAGACAGCATTGAAATCCAAAGCTGTTCTATTAACTTTCTTTTTTAATCAGCTGCCTGCTGGATTCTGGAAGGCTCTTAGTTCCAGCTCCTATGCAAGAACACTGTTACCATTTCAAATAGTATACTGTTTTTTTTTTTTAAGAAAAGGTCACAAAAGGGTAAAGTAATGTAGCCTCAGGGAGGCTACAGAAATCCCACCGATTGTTCAGAAAACCACAACAGTGCACAGTAAATGGATATGCAATCCGATTCAAAATGTTCCATTGGAGAGCTGCCTCTGAATCCTAACGTTGTAAGTTGCTCTCAGAGAGGCAGAGCTGCTTTGAAACCTCCGAGTCGTCTTCCCATGAACAGATTGTGATGAATGAATGAAATGGAGTGGGATGGCTAAAGCCGGGTGGGGCAGGGTTCAAAATAAAGCCAATCCTATGTCAAAGCCATTGCACTGATGAACCACACATGGAAGGCCAAAGGGAGAGTTGCTAGAATACACGATGATCAGTTACATTTGAATTCAAGATAAACAACGAAGAGTTATTTAGCTTAAGTGTGTCCCAAGTACTATGTGGGATAGACTTAGAATTCACTATTTATTTGAAATTCAAATTGGACTGGGCAACCTATATTTTTAATTGCTAAATCTGGCAACACTAGCCAAAGGACAATTAAAACAGCTTATTTTCAATTGACATTATGCCACCTTGCACCAATGAAAAACACAGATGACAACAATTATATAATCGCCTATTTTGTTGTAATGGTTTCTATTACATATAAAATGGCAGAAGTCTCAAGGTTTATAAACGATATTAAAACAGGTAAAAGAAATGGGCTATGCTGCTGTAAAGGATCATGAAGACCATTTAAAGATCCACACCTCAGAAAATCTGACGTACATCAATCCCCGTCCTTTAAATAATTTAAGCTGTGACTACGAAATGTCATGCCATGAACTACATACACAAATCTGTCTTAGTTTATAGTAACCCTACTTGCACATTAACTGGATGATAACCTATTAGCCCTGCATTTCCAACTAAAAAGCAATCGTTGCATAAGGCAGGTACCCACTATTTGCCTACCTCTTTTCATAACCACTGCTGTCTTCTAAATGAAACATTAATTTTTCCTAGGCAACTGCTTTATTCAATACCTTGCTAGCAAAGCAAAGACAGCCATCTCTCTGTATCTGTGGGATCTGCATCAACCTTGGGCCGAAACTACTGGGAAAAAAAATTCCTGAATCCAAAAAGCAAAACTTGAACTTGTTGCATGCTGGTAACTATTTACACGGCATTTACATTGCGTTAGGTATTATAAGCAACCTAGAGATGATTTCGAGTATACAGGAGGAAGTGCGTAGGTTATATGCAAATACTATACCATTTTATATAAGAACCTTGAGCATCTCAGGATTTTGGTATGGGGGCCAGGTTCTGGATACTTAGGGATGACTCTATTTGATTCCTAAACTAACGTATCCAATTTCAGTAACTTCTAAAAGGGAGAAAACCATTGTGCATGCTAGAGCAGGATTCCTTTCATTGGGTGTTAAAATAGTCAATACACTTTGAAAATATTGTTTAAATGTCCCTCTTTGTTGTTTCCAGTGGATGCTGTACCCCCCAGCCCCACCCCTGTCCCCCCCAAAAATTGTAGTTTAAGAAAATCTGCTCCAACGGTGTCAATATTTGGCCAATATTTTTCTTATAAAAGCACAAGCACGATGAAAGCACCACTAGACCAGGCCCAAATGATCAAGTTAAATTAGAGATCCGGCCATTATTGATGTTTTTGGATTCTGGAGAGAGCCATTCTGGATCATTCATACGCCATGAAATGCCTTTTCCTAAGTTGTTTGATCTGAATTATCCAAAATTTGTGGCTCTGGGAACCTGACCTTAAGATTTAGCTGAGTTGGGCTTTTGAAACACACCAGTCTGCAAAAGACTTTGTGGAAGAAATAGCATCTTCCGTGAGACTTGACTTCCGTTTGTTACTGAGCGTTTTTTGGACTGTTGTGCTAAATTTGAGCTGGCACATTATTAACCTTTTCAAATTAGGCATTTAGTAGGCTCAGCTGAATCTTTTCTTAATTTGCACATGAGTGTTTGCCCGAACAGCTGGCATTGTGCTGGAATATTAGTTTAAATCTTCAGTTTACATAGTCCAAGCACAGACACGTACACTTTGGACAGGATGACCTAACTGGTGCCAAACACAGTCAACTTTTTAATAAGAATAATAGCAACGACAATTGCTAATGGTTATTGAGCGCTTACTATGTCCCAGGCATTATAGGTATATTCAGTTATTTACCACTTTTAACAGTCTGATGAAGTTTTATTTCCCCATTTTTGTAGATAAGAAAACTTGAGAGGTTAGATTACGTGCCCTAAATGATACAATTAGTAAGTAGTAAAACTTGGCTTTGTACTGAGGCAATCTAGCTGCAGAATCTGCAGCCGTGCTTCACCACTTGGCAACACTGTCTCAGTAAATCTATCCCATAATAATGGAGAACTTCCACCTTCTCAGGTAGGTTTCACAGCGAAGGAGGCGTCACTCTGTGACACAGACTTCAGGGGAATAGGAGGTAACCAGGCTAAAGGGATGCAAGCCACCCTTCACCTCCACTCGCAACCAACCACAGGCAACCTTGCCGTTCCCATAAATGTGTGTGCATTTTGGGTTTATTTTTAACATGTTTATGATAAGATTTACGATATGGCTTTAATATGCTTATGATAAAGCCCTGACATATATGAGGACCTATACTGAGAAGAGAGCCATAAATGTGTAAGGTGGGGTCTTCCTTTGAGGATAAGGACGTTCGAGATGTTAGTCACTTGGAGAAGAGCTATAGCTGACAGGCCTGGGACACAAACAGGCTCTCTAGCTGGGTGGCAGACTGGAATCTAGCTCTGCTGGTCTTGATCACCAAGGGGCCAATAAGTCAGCCTGGGTAATGGAGCAGATTGCAGTACTCTCCCTGGGGTGGGGCAGACAGGGCAGAACCTAAGGCAGGAAAAACTGGGTCAAGGGATTTTTGCCTCTCTTACCTATGCTTGTTTCCCCTTGAACTCCTTGAACGTTTGGAAAAGGACTCTGGGAAGTTCCAATATACCTCAGATGTCTCAGGGAGGGAATTTTTTAACATACTGAGCCATAGAGCACTGGAGAGCAGCAACGACGGTGGTGGGAATGAAAGAACTGAATCCAGAGAGGAGAGGGAGAGGGATGAAGACGGAAGCTTCCTGTGGCCTGCCATCCTCCCTCCATTCTTGGTTCTGCTGCCTGCCCTCGGAGGTTCTGGCTTGTAATTTAGAGGCAGTACTCCTGTATGCCTAGAGCACTGGCCTTAGAGGTGTTTGGGAACGGTTTGTAAAATAGCCATGCTAGTTTTCTACCCCAATCAACTCTGAGAGAACTGAAGACAGCCCAAGGTTTCTCTCTTCCTTCTTTTTAAAATACAAGTGAGTAAGTGTAGAGATCTACTTTTGCTGTGTTGTTCACAAGGCACAGGTATTTACAAGTGTCCATTACACAGGCTGGACAAAACACTATGTATATGCATTGAGTAGATTTATTAAGCCAAAAAAGTTCCCTGCTAAGTCCCATTCCTGGCTCAAGAAAGTATCACCTCAAGAGTTTTATGGAAAATTTCCTGAATTCTCTAAAGATGGGGTGGGGGGAAAGCAACTGCCTGATGAAGCTATCTAGAGCTTTGCCACTTTCATTTCAAGAACCCTTGTCCCTCTCTCCTTTATAACTTTTTCTAGAAAAGTTATATTTTAGTTTCTCAAACAACCTTGTACGGTATTTATGCCTATTTTTATATTATTTGCCTGATAACTTATTGCAAGTAGCTCTAACAACACACTGACCCCCGAAGAGATTCCTTCAGAGGCACGAACTCAGAGGAAAGGACGCTTCATCACTCAGGGAGATGTACTCAGAAACATAACTATGTCTTCCGGGGTCAGGGGAACCCCAGAACTGGGAGGCTGTGATCTTCTTTGTTCTGGCTTCGACACACGTGTGCAGGGATGAGTGAGGCTGCGCAGTGGGTCCCCAGCTACCAGCCTCCTCAGTCTGGGCCGTGAACAAGGTCAAGGTTCTTGCCGCAGCAATAGCGAGGCTAAACTCTAAAACTGGCCAAGAAAAAAAATAATAAATTTAAAAATATGTATATATATCTTGAGCTCCTTAGGGAGGAAAAAACCCCACAATACACTGCCTTAGTAGGGTTACTCCCGGCGTTGCCAACTGCCAGAGTTGTTAAAAAAATAAAAATTAAAGAAAAGCCACTAAATAAAATTAGCCAACAAACCTACCTACCAGCTCTACTGGCTCACTGAAGGTTTTCTGAGCCTCCAGCCTCATGAAAGGATTTCTAGAGAGGAGAAAGGAAGGCACCTTTCCTGTCATTTCGTAAACGTCTCTTGGCAATCCCGGGGCTAGGGAGTCGGCTGTCACACTTGGGGATACAGGCGCTACCAGCCTGGCCCAAGGCTGTGCAACCAAAGCGGCAGGAGACCGGGAACCCTCTGTGGACGTGCCTCCAAACCTTGCAGACACCAGAGAGAAAAGGGAGCTTTCTCAGGCGTTCGGCAAGTAGAGGAAAAAGACCCGCTCTAGCCTCAAGTTGGGAAACTTTTCCTCAAAACTGCATTATCCGTTGTGAGCTGCCTGGAAACCCCTAGCTTCTTTTCAAGGGATTGTAACGACTTGTGTCCACAATTACAGGAACCCAAGCAATTCAGGAGGAAAAAAAATACACACACGGACTACAAGCATGAGTCAAATGGCTTGTGTATGTGGCTTTGGAACATTCTTATCTAAACACGCCTGTGTCCCCGCACTCGGGCTGCTTTTTCCACCAGTGCCTCATCCGTAGTCAGTTGTCCCTTGTCTGCCTACATTTTCTGGAAAAACTGGATACCCCACCCTCAGACTTAAAGAGCTGTTCTGAATCTCTCCTCTACGCCCACCAAGCCGAGCTCAGTCCTCCGGCTCCTCTCTCCCCAGGCCCTGCTTGGAGGCCGCTGCCATCCGTGGTCCTGAGGCCAGCGATGCGCGCGTGGGGAAGCCGTCCGGAGGGTGAGTGTGTGTAGGAGGAGTGGGTGGAACGGGGAGGATGCTAGTTTTAGCCAAGTTAACAGTTTCTGCCAGGGCACATATTTTGGGGGAGTTTCCAGGCCATAGGGTAGAATTGCAAATCCCCAGGGGTGATCACGAGCTCGAGCCGGGTCGGAGCAGCTGCCCTGAGACTGTTAAGGCCGCATCACCCCCACGCGTAACTAGGAAGGGTCGCCGGAGATGAGAGACCACCAAATCTCGGGGAACGCAAACCAGCCCCGCCGGGTGCGCGGCCACGGCTTAAAGCTTTCCCAGATGCGATCCCTCCTGCTTCTCCTTCTTATCCCTCCCTGAGTCCAACCGCGTCAAGAGGTCTGGTGCCCAACTCTGGCAGGGTGTGCTCGGAGACCCGAGAAGCCTCTAGTTTCAGTCAGTGTCGCCAGCCCGGGTTTCAAACGCATCGTGCAGCCACCTGTTTCACAAAGCCCGGAGTTTGTGCGGGCGCGGGCTGCGGCCGGAAGAACCCTGTCATCCCCTCGGTCCGGCTCGGCCCAGGTTCTCCAAAAACGCACATCGCTCTAAATCCAAGTGCGCACGCAGCTCTGCGAAACGCTGGAGGCTCGCACCACTCCGGCCCCCAGCGCGCGGCGACTTATTTCCCGGTCTCCCCGGTTCAGCCCCCGCCCCCAGCGCTAGTCGCCGGGCCAGCCCTCCGCCAGATTGGCGCCCCAAAATACCTGCCGTGAAGATGCAGAGAGCGAAGAGAGTCTTGTAGACCATGGTACCCTGGTGCTTGGTGCCGAACCCGGCGCGGGCAGCGGGAGAGTTTGCCGGGACTGACCGAGCGCCCAGAGCGCGGGCAGCTCCTCCTCTGTCCGCTGGCTGCGGTGGGAGCCGGGCGACCGGGCGGCGGTAGGGGAAGCTAGGCGAGCGCCGCGCGGCTCCGTCAGCTGCTTGTACTCCGGCGCCCGGCGCGCTTCTGCTCCATCCCAGCCGCCCGGGCCGCCTCCGCCGCCGCGACTGCTGCCGCCAAACCCCTCCCACCCGGGTCCCGCGGAGATGACAAGGCCACCCCTGGCCTGTCCTCTCCCAGCCCTCGTGTCCCGGGAGTCGCGGCCCAGGGCGGCCTCTGCTGGACAGTCAGGGCGCGAGACCCGAGTTTCGACCCGGTTCAGCAAATGTTTGGGGCGGCTAGCACTGTGCTGGGAACTAAGGGGAGGCAGAGAAGTGGGAGCAGATTTCTGCCCTCAGGAATTTACCTCAGCTTTTCTTACAGGAGTAACAACCTTTAAACACGTGACCGCGTGCCATCTTAGGTGTCACCTCGAAGAGCCAAGACCCCACTACGGTAAGGGAACATACACTTCTTTCCAAGTATGAGAACCTTTTCCTTTTCTTTCATTTCTCCAAACGTTCCTGCATGTACGTTAAACCCTCACACACATTCAACCCCACTGCATTTCCTGGTGCCTGGGCCAGGAGGTCTGCCGTCCTACTCAGCTTCTCACGAGACGAAACAGTGATCATGCGATAATTATGAGCCAGGCACCCTACTGGGTGTTGTATCACGATGCTTCTAACAACCCTACGACATAAGAATTATTATTTCATTTTAAAGATAAAAAAAACTAAGGCACAGAGAAGTTAGGTAATGTGCTCAAGGTCACATAGCTGGTAAGGGCTGGATCCCGTAACTGAAGAGTTTGTGTACCAGGGCATATAACAAGGGCTGACATTTCCTGAGAATTGCTGTGTGCTAGACAACTGTGCAGTACAGGTATTAACCAGGTCAGGTTCTCAGAACAATTCTTTGAAGTGGGCGCTATGATAGCTTCATTTTCAGGGGAGAAAATGAAAGCGTGCAGAGGTTTAAGTACTTGCCCAAGATCACACAGCTAGCTAATGGTACAGATAAGTTGCCTGCCTAGGGACCTGGGGTCATCCCTGTACTATACTCTCTCTTCAAAGCCCAAGGTTTCTGTGTGTTCACACAGATCGAAGCTGATCCTTCACTTAATCCTCTCCACCACCTTAGACTTGCTTATTTTCTACACGTCTATCAGACCGGATGCTAGGTCATCTTCCAATATCTATGTTATTATGAGCCTGGCGGTCCCCTAGTCACTAGAGCTGGGATTAAGGAGCCTTCTTAAAGAACTGATTTGCTCAGGACCTAGCAGTGCTGGAGAACAGCTTTCTTTCTTTCTTTTTTAAATTTATTTTACTGAAGTATAGTTGATTTACAATGTTGTGTTAATTTCTGCCGTGCAGCAAAGTGATTCAGTTATATATATATATATATATATATGTTTATATGTGTGTATATCTATCTATATATTTTCATATTCTTTTCCATTATGGTTTATGAAAGGATATTGAATATAGTTCCCTGTGCTATTCAGTAGGACCTTGTTGTTTATCCATCCTATAGAACAGCTTTCTTGTTCTGTGACTTCTTTCTCATATACCAGACAGAGCCCCAAGTTGTATTTTCTCACTCCCTCGGGCCTCATGACTTTATCTGTGATGATGTCAGTTCCTCTTCCTGACCCCACTGTCACCACTTGTAGAGCTTGTCACGCTTCCACAACCAGATTAAACTGAGCTCATGTTTTCTCTTTTGTCTTGGTAAATTTATTGATTCTTGTTGAAATGAGAAGTCAAAGGTATTACAACCAAATGCCCAACCCCCTTTCCTCCTCCCTGGCCAAAGAAACTGCAAATTTATTTTTATTAAACAAACTCTCTTAATGCTTTTGACCTTCAGGTCCTTCTGGTTTCTAGGCTAATCTATGTGATGATGAAGAATTACTGCATCTGTGTGGTGACTGCCATGGAGGCAGGGACCACACACAGATGGAATTTTGCAAGCACGTTCTGTAAGGCACTGGTGCCTTTAGATGGGGCCATTTAAGTAAGTGACCCTATGACAGAAATAAAGATTTTCAAAAACACTTCACAGAAAAAAAATTGTTCAGTTGAAGCTCAACAGACATTAATGGAGTCCCTTAGTAGTGTAAAGCATGTGTGACAGGCTTTGATATCTAAGATGATAGTTTTGTACCCAAAGGATTGTGACTCCCACGTATGAATCAGTTAAAATCTCCAAAGCTTTTCGTTGTATACAGAATAGAGTTGAAAATAATTTCTTTAACTAAAATAATTCATTTTTATTAACAATTAAAACTTTTGATTTATTAATTTAGTGAAAACATATTTGATCACTTACTAGGTGCCAGACCTTATACTAGGCTGTGGGAATGAGATAGGTTGTAACACTCAAGGTAGGTAGGTTCTGCTGCTGTAATAAACCACCCCAAAGTCTCAGAGGCTTAAGCAATAGAGGTTTACTTCTCGCTTATCGTCATCTGCTTTGGATCCAGGCTACTCCCCAGAGTAGATATCTTCTACATCAGGATTCGGTGTTATAGTCCATATCAGAAACTGCTTCTATACTCAGGAAAGAAAAAGGAGGAGAGTTATGTGCAGCATTTATGTCTTCCACCTGGAAGTGGCGATTCTTTTCTTTTTAAAATTAATTAATTAATTAATCTTACTTTTGGCTGCGTTGGGCCTTTGTTACTACACGCGGGCTTTCTCTGGTTGTGTCGAGTAGGGGCTACTCTTCGTTGCGGTGCACAGGCTTTTCGTTGCAGTGGCTTCTCTCTCTTTTTTTTTAATACTTTTATTTTTTTTTATTTTATTTTTTGGCTGTGTTGGGTCTTCGTTTCTGTGCGAGGGCTTTCTCTAGCTGCGGCAAGCGGGGGCCACTCTTCATTGCACTGTGCGGGCCTCTCACTATTGTGGCCTCTCTTGTTGTGGAGCACAGGCTCCAGACCCGCAGGCTCAGTAGTTGTGGCTCACGGGCCTAGTTGCTTTGCGGCATGTGGGATCTTCCCAGACCAGGGCTCGAACCCATGTCCCCTGCATTGGCAGGCAGATTCTCAACCACTGCGCCACCAGGGAAGCCCTGCAGTGGCTTCTCTTGTTGCAGAGCATGGGCTCTAGGCGCGCGGGCTTCAGTAGTTGTGGCATGCGGGCTCCATAGTTGTGTCTAGCAGGCTCGAGAGCGCAGGCTCAGTAGTTGTGGCACACGGGCTTAGTTGCTCCGCGGCACGTGGGATCTTCCCGGACCAGGGCTTGAACCCGTGTCCCCTGCATTGGCAGGCGGATTCTTAACCACTGCGCCACGAGGGAAGTCCAGAAGTGACGATTCAGCACCTTTACTGGTTAAAGGAAGTCAGTGGCCATGCATAACTTCAAGAAAGCAAGGAAGCACATTCTTCATGGTTGTGATGTATGCCACGGTGGTTAACTGTCCCTGCCATCAGGAAGCTTATATTCTAGTAGTGAGGAGTCAAACATTGAATGATCCCCAAAATATATGCAATAATTTATTATGTTAAAGTGGTGGGGGATGGGAGAAACGGGTGAACTGTTTTATAGTTGTTTGTTAAAATAAATTGAATAAAAAAGAGTTCAAAATATATGCAATACTTTATTATGTGAAATGCTATAAATAATAATACCCACTAACACGTATTGAGCTTCTGTTCTATGTTCTGTTAGGGATTGTTTCAAGCATTTTGTGTAATCTGTAAACTTTACACTCTGTAAGTTTATCCCAATTTTGCAAATAAAGAGACTGAGAGATACTTAACAAAAGTGTAAGTATGAAGGGAACCAAAAGATGCTAAGATATTATGGCAGGGGGACTTGCACTCCTCATTGGGGTCAGGGATGGAATTTGCATGTAACTTTTTAGTCATGCCTTATAGCAAAAGCCAGTTTCTTCAGAGATTTCTTGGTTCTTTCATAATGCTCCACTGGGATAAAATCTAAGATAAACCTGCCTTTTACTGACTCCCACTCTTTTTTTGATCACTGATTAAATGAATTGCTAGGGTTGTAGACGTTCAATATTTTTAAAATATTGCCCTTGGTTGACTTAGCTTTCGACATCCTAAATTTATCATAATTTATAGATAAAGTCGGGTAATACATTTTAGGTAATATGGAAGTGTTAGCTCTGGACTCGTGGATTCATCATGGCCTAGGAGAGACAGAATAACTCGGTTGAGAGAGCTGGGTAAGTAAGGCAGTCTGTGCAGTGGTTAGAGGCTGAGTTCTGATGTCTATTCCATGGTCCCCATAGGCTAGCTTCCAATCCCCCCTCTTCCATCTACTAACTGACATTACTTGGTATCTCTATGCCTCAGTTTCTTCCTGGCTTCATTGGGAAGATTAAGTGGATTACATATGTGAAAGGCTTGTCATGTTCTAGGTGCCAGTAAATGTTAGCTATTATTAGAGGAGAAACTTTGAGGTACATTTAAAACTCATTTGGGGATCTAAAGTACAAGGAGAAAACATTAATGCCTGCTGTAGCTATTTCTTCATATAAAAGGTTACAAAACTTGGATTCTCCCCTGGGCATTTCCACTCCTGCTACATCTGAGTTGCAGGGGAAAGCTCTAAACTATCTCTGACAGCTCCTCCCCCAACCCCTCATCCCCAAAGGCAGGAGTGCAGCAGTTTCAAGACCCTGATATATGTTGTCGTGGTTTCATTTCTCTTCCCAAGTTGCACTGCAAAAATATCTCCCTGGCTTTTGCTATATACTTAATTACATAACTTTGCTTCTCTCTTAACTCCAATTTCCTTTTAAAAATATTAATGGTAAAAAAGATTAAAGGCAGTGATGCAATATGAGAAAAACAGGAAATTTGGAACTTTGCCAAGAAATATTTGTTTGAACAAAGGCAATTTTAAAAGCACATGATGGAACATAATTGTTTCCCTGATTTAAATAAACTTGTTTGGAGCACTTTGAGGACACTAAACCACATGTCACTAATTTTTATTTTAATTAAGGAGGAGACCCTTAAAATATTTCAGGAAGGAAGAAACTGGCCTCTTGGAGGTGATGCACATAATGAAACCGCTTTTTAAACTTGATTGAGTTGCTACTGTAGATTTGCATTGTCCAATAGAAGTAAAATACAAGTCATATATGTAATTTTAAAATTTCTAAAAGTCATATTTTGAAAAAGGAGAAAGAAACAAGTGAATTTAATTTTAATGCTATGATTTATTTAACTTGATGTATCTAAAATATTTATCATTTCAGCATGTAATGAATAGCAAAACATTAATAGGATATTTTACATTCTTTTTCTTATTGTAAGTCTTCAAAATCCAATGTTTATTCTACATTTATACAACATCTCAATTCAGACTAGGTACATTTTGAATACTCAGTAACAAAACATGGCTAGCAGCTATCATAACAGGCAGTGTGGCTGTAGAGAACTGGGCCCAGTCTCTTGCCTTGCCTCATGGATATCT